TATAATAACACTTAAAGCAGAGTTTTTTGGAGAGGGGTTCTTCAATATCATCGAATTTTAGTTACTTTATTTTAGATCTTTAAAGAAAAAAATTTGTTCAAATTAAATTTTAAAAATATAAAAATCCCTTCTGTTTTTTTATTTTAAATATGAAAATAATAGTTTTTTTATTTGAATTAGCACTATTATTTATTTTTAAAGCAAGCTACAAGGAAATAACAATTTCAAATATATTATTTGTCGTAGCTATTATTGAGAAAGTATTAGCAGATAATATACTATTAATTGAAGCTATTTAATTTTATAAATATTAACTTAGTTAAAACACTTTTTTATTGAGTGAGCTTAGTTTACTTTTATTCTTTTAATAATAACATTTCTATTATTTATTATATCCTATTTTTAATTTATTCAATAAAATAGCCAATAGAAATTTTATTAAAATTCCTAAAAAGGTACGAAAACATTTAGGAAAGTATAATAAACTCCCCTAAAACTAAGGTAACAATGCTATAAACTCATAAAAAATGATAAATTATTTGAATAAAAATTGGTAAAATTCCAAAAAAATTTATAATATTATAAAAATGAAAACCTCTTTCAAATTTAGATTATTAATTCAACTATAATAAAGAATTTATTTGAAGAGGAAAAATATAAATAATGTTTGAGTAGTGAATTTTTAATAAGATAAAACTTTCTAAAATAAATTTTACAGAAATGTATATTTCATATTAAAAAAGAAAATATGAGCTTTTTTCTTAGCTTTTAAGTAGAATATAATTTTTAAATTTTTTAAAAAATGATTATTAATTTACTGGAAAAGAAATATCTTTTATATTAAATATTATATAATTCATATAACAAAAAATTTATAAAAACAAAATAATTATTTATTGATTAATAAGGGATATCATAATAAACAAAGAGTTTTTAATTACCTTATTTTAATATTAATATATTTGCTTAAATTAAGAAGTAGAAGTAAATAAAATAAACAACATTATGAAATATCTAATTTTGAGATTGTTAATAACTGTTTCATTACCTACTATAATTGGAGTTGGTTTTGTGTTAGCAATATTTTATAATATTTTATGGAGATCTCTAGTTTAATGGTAAAAAATTTGTCATTTTTCATTTTTAGTTTAAGATCTATCTAAAATTAATAAATTAGTATTATCTTTAACGATAATGTTGCAAAACTTTTATAAATAATAATATATTTAGGTAACTATAGAGTGGCTAATGGAATGATTAAGTGTAAAAGTAAATATTACTAAATTCTGCTTATTCTGAATAGATTTTATTAGAATATAGCTTCAATTAGGTACATTTTTTTCATATCAAGATTAAAATAATTATTCAAAACTTAATAGTTAGAGCTTCATATGGTTGTAGTCAAAGGTTTGATAAAAAAATATCAAAATAATCAGATTATCTGTATAATAAATTTTATTATTAATATAAGACATTTCTAAAAATTCAATAACAAAAAAAATAGATAATTCAAAAACTGTTTTCACTGTTTGCTCCTATAGAGAATTCACATTTAATTAATGTCCTTAATATGTTTATGATTAATTAAATAAAAGTATATTTTATGCTGATCTTTATTTTGTTAGAGATGTATTTAAATTTGATTTGCTAACACCTGAATAGCAATATTTTATTAAAATTGTAACAATTTAAGATATTAAATATTTTTTTAATTTTAATACTTAATTTTATATTAGAATGATTTTATTTCTTATTATGGAAGATCTGCTTTTAAGGCATCTTAGATTGAAGGGCTAATATAAATTAGTAATATTTATAATTCTGATAATACCTCAGTATAATAAGTTTTACCTTCTGTGTAAATTTTATTTAAAATATTTAATTTTTTTTAATACAGTAAAATATTTAAATTATCTCATTTTAAAAAATATTTTTTTATTAAAATTCAATATAATTTTTTAAAAATTAAAATTTTGATTAATTACTGGGTACTTTTCTTTAAAAATATGTTTTATACTTTAATATTATTAGTTTTTATAATTATACTGATTCTGATTATGAAAGTTGTAATGGAAATAAATTTATAGAACCTTATGATCCTAGATGTAGATATTGGTTCATTTACGCGTAATAAAATTAAGGTATAGATTAAACAATATTTATAATTATATTAATTGATTAAGTAATTACTTATTATTTTGAGAATTTTAGTCAAAATTTGGAATAAAAATAATTTATTATTATCATTATTAAAGCTAAAAAATTTATTTCTTTTAATTGCTTAATAGGCTTTTTTATTTTTGAGCCATATATAGATTCTATAACAGGAGCTCTGCTGATGAGTCTTTCTACATAAATTGATTTTCATTCTTAGTTCTAATCTGTTGATACAATTGATTTTACAATGCAAAATATTAATGAGTTATTGAGTTCAAGCGAAAATGCTTATACAGTATTATTTCATGAATTCAACTAAACAGTATAGTTTTATAAATAACAAAAATAACAATTCAATTATTTCAATAAAAATAATTTATTTATTTATTTATTAAAAAATCTAATAGGTTTTATATCATCCTTTACTTGCTTTCTATTAAGTAATGAGTTGGTCGGATATAGAATTTTTTAATATCAAATAATACTGTAGTATTTCTTAAGAATAAATGGATATTTGCTTATCGTAAAAATAACAACTTTCTAATTAAGTTAATAAAACAATCAAATTTATTCAAAGTAATGATGATTTAATTCAAAATCAAACCAATTTGAGCTAGCTTTATTAATAATGGGAAAGGTTTGGCTAAAAATAGTAAATATTATTTTACTTTTCTTTTATTAAAATCCATTTACTTCTACTTTAAATTATTTTTTCTAACTTCTTTATTTAGATACATTTTTGAAAAATATATTTTTTATATTAGATATAGCATTATTTTTCCTGTTTAGAGCAGACTAAAGGGCTACAACAATTAGAAACCATATTCTTCTAGTATAATTTTGATTGCAAGGGTAATTACAGATAACAGTGATAGTTTAATGCTCCTTAAATTGATAAACTTTAGCTTAATAAAACTTTTTTTGATGATTGAATTTGCTTTTGTAAGTTCTATTATACTCATTTTTATTATAAATTATGGACTATTTTAAGTTTATTCAATTAAGTAACCAATAGAAATTCTAACAAAATTCTTATAAGAAAGTTACAGTTAATAATTATCAAGTTAAATAAAATAAAATACATTGAACTAAAGTAGAGAGGAAATAAAATAATCAATATAAAAAATGAAACTAATAAAAACTTAATAATCAATTAAGATTGACTAAATAAAATAATCATACTAAAAAAAGTAAATATTCTAGTCATAAAATTAAAGTGACAGCTAAAATTATATTTCCTTTTAAAATTAAGTAATATAGAAGAAATTAACTGATGAAGAATCATCTAAATAATATTGGAATAATGACTCTCTAGAATTTTTAAATGAAAAAACTTCTTGGAATCACATATAAAAATTAAAATTTGATAACTATTAATCAAGAAGTCCAACAACTTTATATAATAAAATAAGATAAAGGTAAAAATCTATTTTTTCTCCAGCTGCAAGTGAAAAGAAAATTTTAAATTTCAATTCTGAAAAAGTTTTAAATCTTGAATAAAACCATCAACAAATTTAACCAAGAAAGAAACAATTTTCCTATTAATAAAAATTAATAGATAGCAATACTTCAATCACTTAAAGTGTTAAAAGATTAAAGAAAACTAGTATTGATACTTAGCTACAAAAAGAATGTAGTATAGAGATTATGTAAAATGCTAAAATTTAAGACAAATTTGAAGAAAAAGATAAAATTCTTAAAGGTCTGAAGCCATTATTTTTAGAAATGAAAATAATTAAAAAGGTTTTCTAAGATTTAGAGATGTTAATAAATTATTAGATTGATGCTTAAAACTAAAATTAATAAGACTTTGTTAATAATCTTTTTCATTTTTCAAAAGCAAAAACAACATTTTAAAAGCTGCAAAATTAAACAGGGCTTAGCCGATGCTACTTCAATTTAGGTGTGATATATCTAATGAAATACGAATACATACTAGCTTCAGAGTATTTTGAATCCTCAATTTAAGTTAGTCTCAATAGTATTGGAGTTAATTATTAAGATTTGATAGACTAAAAAATAACAAATCCATCTATTCTTTTGACAGATGAGCAGCTTTTAATATTGTCTAAAAAAATAATATGTCAAGCATTCTGTATGAAAGAATAAGCGTTTTCTTTAATCCAAATAAACTAAAACTAAAATGATAAAGCTTAGGATTAAGTGTATTAAGAGAGTATTTAGGAAAAAGCAATTTAAAATTATACTCAGGTAGGCAAAACTTTATTACTAAAATCATTAAATATATTTTAAATAATTTATAAATTGGGTTTGAGTGGTGGCTAAATTTTTTCAGAAATATTAAAAATTTTTTTACTCCAAGAAATTATTGAAATAATGATAGAATTAAATATATATAAATAAAATAATAATTACCTCCATGACTTAAATCAATTCTTGAATATTTCTACAAATTAGTAAAGCAATATAAATTTATCTTTAATATATCAATCATCATAATCATAAAGAGTTACGATAAGCCAAAAAAAAAATTAAAAACTTTTTTCTATAGCTGATGAAATGAATGACGGAATTAAAAAATAAATTATTTAAATTCAAAAAAGCAGACACCATTATCTATTAGGATTAATAGAATAATAAAACAAAAATTTTATATAATCAATAGAATAATTTACATTATGCTTAGAAAAGGGTGTCCATTACAATCCTATTTTAAGAAAGAAAACAGAATTTCGTCTAAATTAATTATTCTAATAAACACCTTTATATAAAAATGTTTACATTAAAACTGATTTTTAAAATGATACAAACAATTTTATTGACTTAGTTCTTATAATTTAATTAGAATATTAAATGCAATATTCTTCTATTGAATAATGCATTAAAAGCCTTTAATAAAATAGTTTTTTTGAAAAAAAAGATAGAATACTCATTTTAATATTTCATGTTGAATTAGATGTTTTCATGCCATTCACTGAGATAATAAATAAAAAGCATTGGAATTTGATAATAAATTCTATTCAAAATATAGAAAAAACCATAATCCAAAAAGAAAAAACAAAAAAATAATAAATCAGTTGGCAAGAAGCTATTAATATGTCCTTTAATCATATTTATGAATTGAAGATATAAGATCATATATATTTAGAATAAATAAAAAATTAATTAAATAAAGATTATAAAAGCAATAAATTATTAATAAATAATTCTGAAAAATATTTTGCTTAATATAAATAAAGTTTATAAAGGAAAAAAGTAATAATATTATTTTCAAAATAATAAGAAGAAGAATGTTTAAACATGAACAAAATTAGCTTAAATTTAAAATTAATGAATTATTAAAAGCCAATTATTTATCATTTAAAGGAATATTCTTTAAATAAAAATAAAAAATCTGATTAACTTATTGATAGTTTTATTTATTAATCTTTCGAAGATGATAACTAACTTTTATCTAATCTATTAAAGTTAAGAAATGAAAAAAATATTAATGATTACCAGGAATTTCTATCTGTCCTTAATATTTCTTGAACAGTAATTGCTTCTTTATAAGTATTATTAAAAATATTATATCAGTATATATTATCAAATTTATTTTAGTACTTATCATTTAAATAAATTTTAAATTACTTAATTTATAAAATAAATTTTATGTTAAAATATTATTAAATATATTTACTTTAATTTTTAAAAAAACACACATAAATAATTTTCTTTCTCATTTTTTTAATTTAAATTAATTAACGATTTTAAGCACTTTATCATAGTAAATATTGTCATAAAAATCGATAGTATATGGTATAATCCAAAAAAAATTAATTTTCATAGATATAGATAATATGAAATTTTTTTTATGTTAATTAATATTTTTAAATGAGTTTTAGTATATTACTGATAAAATGCTAAATCAATAAATTGTTTTTGAAATTAATTAAAATGAAGTAAATGAATTTTTAGGCCAGTTTTTATGATTGAAAGTCTAACCTATTTACAAATAACTAAAATTTTATTAGTGTTAAATTAATAGAAGAAACTAATACTTCTATTTATTTATTTTGTTTGATTTTAAACGCAAATTATATATTATATATAAGTAGAAATAACCCTAAAAATTACTAGTTATAATGAAATATTTGATTTTGAGACTTATTATTACAGTTTCTTTACCGATAATGATTGGAGTTGCATTTACATTAACCGTATTTTACAAAATTTTATGGAAAGCTTTAAACTAATGGTAAAATATTAATCTTTCATTTGAAGTTTAATCATTGAAAAATATTAATTTATATTAGAAATGATCTTTTACAAATTTAAAAAACTAACACTAATAATTAGGGAATATGATAGTGGAATATGGATAAATTCATTATAAAAATAAACTTTATAAAATTCTGCTTACTCCCATTAGGTGTTGTTAGAATACAGCTTTAATTAGGTAGGTTAAATTTTAGTTAATAATTAAGATTTAAAACATTTATGTCTTCACTTTAAAAATAGTTAGAGTTGCATATGGTGGTTATAAAATCGTTAATAAAAAAATATTAGAATTCACAAATAAAATGTAAAGATGTTCTTTCTTGAATTAAATTTTATTATTCTATCTAAAAAAAGATAATCCGAAAACTATTTTCACTGTCTGCTCCTATAGAGAATTCATTTTTAATTAATGTCCTTAATATGTGTACAATCAATTAAACTAAAGCATATTTTATGCTGATCTCTATTTTGTCAGAAGTGTATTTAAATTTAATCTTCTAAGTCCATAGCAGTAATATTTCATTAAAACAGTAAGAAAAATATTATTTTATTAGTATTTTTGATTGATTTATTAGCTTTTATATTTTGTTTATTAGAATGATTTTATTTCCTTTTATGGAAGAGCTGCTTTTAAAGCTTCTTAGAATGAAGGAATAATATAAATTAGTAATATTTATAATTCAGATTAAACATCAGTCCAATAAGTAAATCCCTCACTGTATCCTTAAATAAAAATAGCTTATACATATTATTAAAATTATTTTTGCTAATTATTAGGTTTTATAATTATACTGCTTCTGATTTTGAGAATTGCTTTGGAAATGATTTTATTGAACCATATGATCCTAGATGCAGATATTGGTATAAATATGCTTAAAAAAATAAAGGTAATCAAAATAATTTATTTTTTCAAGTAAATTAATTAAAAAATATTAAATTTCATTCTGATTTATATTAAAATTAAGCAATTTAATTTTCATAAAAATACATATTTTTGAAAGAACTCTCTAATAATAAAAAATATTTACATTTTTTAACTTAGTATGAATAAATAAATTAGGACAAAACCTGATTATGAAAAAGAAAAATTTTTAAATAGTTAAATTAAATAGGTTTTTATGCTTATTAATTAGTAAATTTAATAGAAAAAATAAATATAAATTTTAGATATTTATTTTTTTTTGATACTTATTATTTAGGAATTAATTTTAAATTATTATGAAATATTTAACCAAATAATATTATAATTAGGGTTTTTTATTTTTGAACCATATATTGATGCTCTAACAGGAACTTTGCTGATGAGTCTTTCTACATAAATGGAATATGAGTCTCAATTCTATTCAGTGGATAATATTGATTTTTCAATACCAAATATTTTACAAGTTTTTGATTCAGATAAAAGTGAAAATTCTTATTCAGTATTATTTCATGAATTCAACTCAACTGTAACCTTTTTATTCGAAAAATGATTTGAATATTTATATTTCTTAACATATTTTATAGGTTTTTTTTCATCCATTACTTGTTTTTTATTAAGTTATGACATGGGCAGATATAGAATTTTTTAATATAAATTAATTTTGCAGCATTTCTATTGAATAGATGCATATGTGTCAATCTTAAAAGCAAGAATTTGCATAGCAAGTAAATGAAACTATTGAATTTATTAAAAGTGGGAGTTATTCTATTGAAAACACTAATTTTGACAAATTTTACTAATAATGGCAAAGGTTTGGATAAAAACAGTAAGTTGATTAAAATTAAATTAAACTTTAACATTTAAAAAGAAAATAAATTCACTTATTTGAACAATTTTTTTAATTTTTTTAATAAAATAATCAATAAAATGATTTTATAAAATATCAAAATATATTTACTAAAACTTATCAGAATTTAATTCAGTATTAAATTTAATAAAAAATATGAAGTTTATTTTTTATAAGAATTAGTTTTATTCTACCTGTGTAGAGTCAACTTAAGGGATATAACAATCAATAGCCTTATTCATTTGCTATAATATTTATTGCTAGAGTCATAACAGATAGAAGTGATTAATTAAAATTATTTAATTTAATCAACATACAATTTATCAAATATTTTCTAGTATTTGATTTCGTTTTGGTTAGTTCAATCATATTACTTTTTATTATAAATTATGGTTTATTATTAATAAATTAAATTTAAAAACCGATAGAAATCTTAATTTAATTCTTATAAATGAGTTATAAGGAACAGTTATCATATTAAATAAATATAAGCTAACTAATTAACAATAAAAATGATACATAATAAACTATTATAAAAAATAAACAAATTAAAAGCCAATAATGTATAAAAAGAAGTTAAAATAAAATAAGCTTATAATTAATATAGGGTGAAAACCCTAATTAGACAAATATGTAGATTGATTAAAGTTAAAATTAATTTTTATTAGAAGAAGAATCTACAAGGTAATTTTAGAATACACCAATAAAGTTTTGCTAAGTAGTTGAAAAATCGTTTGATGAATAATCAAAAACTAACCATGACTTTATAGATAGCCCTTTAAAGAAATTAAATAGTCACTTTAATTCTCCATTGTAATCTTCTAAAAATTCTTACTCTCCTCCTTAAAATTTAAAAAAATTAAACTAGAGTACTCAAAGAATTTTTGATTATATTTAGCAATCTCACATTCTTGGAAAGAAATGCGATAACATTTAATTGAATTCATAAGATTAAAATTTTTCATTTAATAGAGCTAACTATTCACCTAACTCTTAAAATAAATTTAAAGAGAGGCTCTAAAAAAAAGTGGCATTTAAAGAATAAGAATAAATTAGAGAAGAAAGGAAAGAAAAGATACTCAAAGGACTTAAACCATTATTCCTAGAAATGAAGATCATAAAATAAGTTTTTCAAGATCTAGAAAGTGTTATTAACTATTAAATAAACTCATAAAATTAAAATTAATAAAACTCAATGAAAACTCTTTTTCATTTTACCTAGGCCAAAACTATATTCTAAAAGCTTAAAAATTAAACTGGACTTAGTAGGTGTTATTACAATTTGGGTATAATTTATCTTCTAAAATATGATTTTAGCTTGGGTTCAGAATACTTTGAGTCTGCTATTTAACTAAACTTAGAATCCCTTGGTATAAATTATCAAGATCTAACAAACCAAAAGTTCATAGATACCTCTTCAATAAAAACTGAAAATTAAATTTTAATTCTGTCAAAAAGATTATTTTCTCAAGCATATTGCTTAAAATAACAAGCGCTTCAAGTTATTTATACATAAGAAAATAAATTAAACTAAAATAATTTTTTAAAATATAGCCAAAATGATAAAGAAAAGAATATAGAAAAACTCATTTCAAATCAACAACCATAAAATTAGACTTTATTACAAAAATCTTTGGAAATATTTGAAATAGTTTTAAGATTGGTTTAGAATAACGATTTTTATTTTCCAGATAATTTTAAAATCTTCTTGCTTTAAGAAATTATTGAAATAATTTTAAACTTAAAAGAAAGTAAAAAGATTCAAATTTACTTTGAAACTTTAGACTAACTTTTTCATAATTAAATAAATTAATAAACTCTCACATTCATAACTCCTAATAACTATCCTTCGTAAAAAAATATAATTAATGAAATAAAATGCAAGTCTCATCAAAATTTATAGATTGGAGCTTGCATAGAAATTAAAAAATAGATTTTTCAAATTCAAAGAAGTAGACAACATTTTTTATTTGGACTTATGGAGTAGAGTTAAAAAAATTATTCATAGGCAATTTAATAATTTACATTATGCATCGAAGAAGGAACTCATTATAATCCATCTTTGAGGAAGAAAGCAATTTTCCATATTACTTAATTATTTCAAAACCATCCTTAAATATAAATAAGAGAGAATTTATTTGATATGATTGAATAACAAAATATTCCTATTGATTTAATAGTAATAATTCAATTAGATTATTGTTTAAAATATACAACTGTAGAAAATTGTCTAAAGTCTATTTAGTAATCTAAATTCTTAAAGAACGATGATAGAATAATCATTTAAATATACAACTAAGATTTAGAAATAATTATACCTTTGACACATGTTTACAATGAAAAACACTGGTATTTAATCATAGATTCTCTTTAAAATATTACTAAAAGATTTATTGAATATGAAAAAAAATCAAAATTGCAAATTTCTTGGTAGGAAGCCCTATTTAAGTCTCTGAACTATGTTTGCTAATTTAATTTATAAGATCAGATATATTTAAATTTAATTTCTGAGAAAAAAAAGTATATCAACAAAGATAATTCATTTAATAATCTTAAAAATGCTTTTTAGTGCTATAAAAGAATGTAGTCCTGTTAAAAATATGAAAGATAAAAGGTTATCCTCCTATTTTCAAAAGAATAAGAATGCAATAAATAACTTAATTAAAATAATTTAATCAAATAGCTTAAATTATTTAATTATCACAAACCT